GAATGGTGAATCCAAGCTTACTGGGAATTATTGAATGATGTAAGGAATAACTTTTTGTTCCAATAAGACGTATATAGTTTACTTTTGCCAAACACTAACTTTTGCACTCTTTATATAAAAAAAAGATAAAATAAAATTAAACGATTGCATTTCTTGTCAATTCAAGCTCCACGATTCGCCTATACGCGTTTAGAGATTTCGTCTCTCAGAAAAATTTGTAGTAGCCCAAATTTAAATGGAATTAAAAAGCTGTTTAGTTTTTGTCTGCTTAGAGCTAAAACATAACGTATTTAATGGTTATCTTTGTACTTATAGCAACAAAATTCAAAATTGAGTGAACCCTACTTATAAAGGTTTAGCATCATTAAGTCGTATTAAATGAAAATATTGAGGAAAAATAGTTTAAACTTAGTTAATATTATACTCGCTATAATAAATAGTTTAAAATTTAAATAATCTTTATAACCCTTATGTGATACCGAAAGAAAACTTTCTTCATTAAAATTCTTAAAGCAAAATACAAAAAAGCTGGAACAGCTACAACGAAAACTTTTAATACGCGTAGCTTTAGAAAATGGATAACAGAACTTAATACCTAACTAGAACATAAACGCATAATCTTGATCTCGAGGCCAACTTTGCCTCCGGGGTGCCATCTAAAATACCTTAACCTTTTATCTCACGGCTGCACATAGTAAAAAAGTTGAATAGAAAAGTTCCGTGCTTCCTTCTGAGACTTATTATTCCAGAGTAATTAAAGCAGCGTAAATTTCTTATCAGAGATTAAAGTTGAGCTCTGAGACTTTAATCAGATGACAAAGTGCCTAATTATGTCGGATAATTGGTAGAAAATTGGTTTCTTTATTCTGTTTTACCCTCTTCTCTGCGAGGACTGGGAGCCTGGTGTCGTTACACTGTAAGTAGTGCCTAAGAGGTTTCTAACTATATTCTTTTAAATTAGGTTATCGGGTTTAGTATAAATTAATTGGCGGCTTTCATCAACTTTTGCTTATTTCTGTGTTAAGTGGTATATAACGAAAAATCTTATTACAAAATATACACAATGTAGTGTATATTTTATTTAATGAAGTTATTCAGCTAAGATTATTGATCGTGACTAATATTTATAAACGAAGAAAAATAGAAGTAATTATAAGAAGTTGTGAGTAGTCATCATCATCATCATCAATCAGCCCTGAGTTGTCTATTCCTCCTCTAGACTTTTCCATCTGCTTCTGTTCTGCGCCTCTGCTATCCAATTGGTCACGATTCTTTTGAGGTCGTAGGTCCATCGCGTTGGGGGTCTTCCTCGGATTCGCTTGTCAGCCCGTGTTCTCCACTCAAGAAATTTTTTTGTCCAACTGTCGTCTTTGATTCTTGCAACATGTCCTGCCCATCTCCATTTTTGCCTTGTAATATGTTCGATAATGTCTTCCACTCCAGTTCGTCTACGAACTTCCTCGTTTCTTATTCTATTTCTTAAGCTTCTTCCAAGCACTGATCTCTCCATCTTTCGTTGTGTCCTCAATTTTTCAGCTGACGTTTTTGTGAAAGTTAAGGTTTCTGCTCTGTATGTGGGGACTGGTAGAACGCATTGGTTAAAAGCTTTTCTTTTTAAATGAATCGGTATATTTGTTTTAAATACGTCTTTCATTTTTCCGAATGCAGCCTAACTCAGACTTATTCTTCTGAGTAGCTTGCATGTTTGGTTATCCCGCGATAACCTTATTTCGTGACCCAAATACACATATTTTTCCACAAGGTCTATGGGCGACTTTTCGATTTCTATTAGCTCATTGGGGAAGAGATTGGTCATCATTTTTGTTTTTCCATAGTTTATTTTTAAACCGACTTTCTGGGTTACTTGCTGTAGTTGTTGTAGCATAACTCTGGCTTCTCCTAAGTTGTATGTTATTAGAATAATATCATCGGCATATCTGAGATGATTGAATATCTTTCCATCGATGCTAATACCCTTTGATTCCCACTCTAGCCGTTTAAATGCGTACTCCATAACTGTTATAAATAGTTTTGGCGACAAGGTATCTCCCTGTCGCACCCCTCTGCCAATTTTTATCTTCTCTTATCTATTCTGCATTCTGATAGTGCTTTTAAGATAGCAACTGTTTCGACTGTGTCAAATGCTTTGTGGAAGTCGACAAAGATAAGAGCAAGGGGTCTGTTGTTTTTGATAGACTTTTCAACTAGAGTTTTAAGACATTGCAAATGGTCGTTTGTTCCGTGTCCCGCTTGAAATCCTGCCTGTTCTTCTGATTAATAGAAATCGAGTTTTGCTTCTAATCTGTTTGTCAGTATTCGAGTAAAGAGCTTGTATAGGTGGTTAAGCAAACTAATTGGCCTATAGTTTTCGATTGTATCTGATTTATCCCCTTTTTTGTGGAGGAGGATTGTAACCGAAAATAAAAATTGTGAGTAGTAGATATGTAAAAATATTACTCATCTGTCCCTCTTGGACAGATACACAAATCATTCTTATAGGGAGAACATCTCTTTCAGAACAAATGCTTGTTGGTGTGTGCACATATTCATGAATGTTAGGGAAATAAGTCTTCTACTCACAATCCGTTATAGGTTGTATTATAACGGATTTGATAGGGCATGAGGTAGAGAAATACCGAAGCCAGCAGAATGAATATAATATACAATGCGCGAAAGAAGGAACTGAACAGAAAGATCCAAACCGAGAAGAAGAGGCACTGAAGAGAACTGTATGACAAGTTGGATGAGGACGTTTGAGGTCAGTGGTACAAAATCGTAATGAACCAGTTCAAGCTGTATTCTCTGCATGAGATGCCACTGGACAGGAAGCTTGAGGTTACCCGAGAGCTCTTTCTACCCGGCCATTTTCATTGAGTGCAGTGAGATGCCGAAGCTGAACGAGCTGTACCTTTTATCGTAGAAGAACCCAACGAAGCGTTGAGTGTTCTAAAGACACGAAAGTCTCCGGGACTTGATGGAGTGTCACCAGAAGCGGTGAAACTCATTGTCAGTAGAAAGCCGATGTGGCTTTTGGAATACATGAATGTACTGCTTGAAACTCAGGGATTCCCGGCAAATTGGAAGATCTCGAGGCTCGTGTTACTCGAAAAGGGGAAGGACAAGTATCGACTTGTTTGCTTTTAATCGTGTGTAGGTAAATTATACGGGAGGCTTCTTAGAGGGCGAATAGACACACAGATTGAAGAGTCAGGCTGGTTGTCACCCAGGCAGTATGGTTTCAGAAAGAACAGAAGCACGGTGGAAGCGCTGATGGAAGTCTTACGAGAGTTGCGCGGGGTGGGGGTTAACCAGAGATGGGCAAGCCTACTGTTGATTGACGTCTGGAATGCTTTCAATACATTATAATGGAAAGAAAGTAATGAAGGCTCTACGAGAGAGGTGTCCGAGGTACTTGATGAATTTGGTCTCCGACTATTTGTCAGATAGGAAAATTGTCGTAGAAAAAGAAATGGTGGTTGACGTGACGGCTGGAGTGCCGCAGAGGTCGGTCTTAGGACCCGCGCTGTGGAACTTGGCATATGACGGGGTTGTGAACCAACAATACGGACAGATGCATTTACGGAAGATCTCGCTATGCTAGTAGTGGCGCGGGACAGAGAGGATCTTATCTTTGATGCACAGTATACATGCGACCAAGTCGAGGAATTGATGAAAATGCATGGGCTAGAACAAGCTGCGAGTAAGAACGAGGCTATAGTTCTCAAGGGACCAAGGAAAAGGGATGACATTCGAATGTGCATAAAGAAATGCGTGAGGTATTTAGGGGTGACTCTGAGTCAAAACGGAAAGTGTCAGGAGCACGTAAAAGCTCCTAATCTGAGAAGATAGGTAGATTGCGGGCACGGGCATTTGGATAACTTCCTGAGGCAGATGCTCACAGAACATGGTTGCCTTCAGGGCACACCTTTACAGATTTAGAAAGGCAGAAAATGACAAATGCCTATACTGTGAAATATCGGACACTGTGTCTCACATACTCTATTAGTATGCGATAGATGGATAAATCAGAGGAGCCTGCTTGAGAGAGGTAGCTAGGAAGTAGGGTGTAATCAGTCACGGAACTGATGGAGGAGATGCCTAGGTCGTCAGATCGGTGAGAACAATTCAGAGATATGTGAGGAGAACGCTGGAGAGAAACAAACAAGAAGAAAGACGACCGAAGGGAGGCAGAGTACCCAGGAGCAACCAAAAAGAAAAGGAAGAATAAGAAGAGGCGAGATTGAACATAAAAAGGGAGGAGCAGTCTCTGGCATTAACGGCGAGAGTGTCCGAACAACCCTGGTGCGCGGTCTCGGATATCATCGTGTCCACACTGGAGGAATCCTGCATAATCGAGGGTGGAAGGCGGTTCTACCAACCTTCTAGAACCGAGGTATGTTTCGAACATTTGGATCACCTCCCCCTATAAAAGAAGAAGAAAAAAGAAGGTAGTAATTTATATTCTTTACTCCTTTGCCTAAGATGTAGACTCTAATAAGAAATATGGCGGCGTAATCGTATGGAATTGACTAAAACCTAAATTGGCACCAACCGGCACCAAAAAAGTTGCCAGGTCATATTTTATTTCTTTAGTAGATTAAGAATGGATGGAATGGAGATGGATATATATCAAAAAACAGATTTTATTTAATTTATAATTGAACACTGACATATTGATCACTTTAGTAGACACAAACACAGTAGAAATTGTAACCCTGCGAGAGGTAATAATGTAATAGTAAATTTAGAATATATGTACTGTGTGTTGTCTAACTCTAAAGAAATTCATTTTACTTTGTTTTGTCAAATGACTTAATGCGTTGAGAGTTTAAATTTTAAAAGTAATATTTGGGTATAAAGGTCTTCACTATAGCCTTATAAAAATCTGTTTGATTTACATCTTTTGTTAGACAATTTCCGCTTTCGTATTGCTTAATTCGGTTAAAATTTTATTGTTTAATGCAATTTTATCCACAAATAACAAATTATTTTTTTTCTAGAAATAAATTCAACGGCATTGCCTCCGTCCTTAGAAGACCTAAGATACAACGGTGTAGAAGACATTTTATACCAAAAAGACGCAGTGATAGACGTAGTTGAATTCTCCCCGCTGAATTTGTCAGATTCCAAGGAAATTTCAAAATTATCAATAAACGTCACGACGCCCCCTTCAAGTCAAATTAATTTCACGACGCAAGGCCCTCGACTGGAACAAAAATTAACATCGGAAAGTTTAGCCGCGTCTAAGGTGACGAAACCCATAACGCCTTCGGTGGCTAACGTTACGGTTACCGTGTCGACAGTGAAACCGTGTCCGTTGGACTGTGGTCCCGGCGGGGGCTGCAGTTTAGAAAACGCCGAGGAATCGCCGATGTGTCTGTGTCCTTTGGGGCGAGGCGGGGAAAGGTGTAATGAAGGTAGGTCAAACAACTTTATATAAACTTAAAAAAGGTGCCACATAAAGTGAAAATGTGAAAAATTTTAGCAGATACAATTTACTTAATCTTTCGTTTAAAGTTCACGATTTTACAACTTTGGTAAAATGTATAGACAGACTAATAATAATAATACCATCAATTCATTACACAATAAAATAAAAATTGCTTTTTCATCTTTTTTCAAAATTTTCTGCCTTAATTAATAATACTGAAAATTAATAATAATAAAATTTTAAATACTTGATAAAGTATTTTTTACATATTTGTTTATTTAGCACTTGATACTACCATTTATGTCTCTTTCTGGAGACCTTTCGGTATCGACACTTCTTCTTTCTTCTCCTCGTAACACTACAACCCAAGGTGGGTCTTAGCTGACTGCACAACTTGCTTCCATCTTGAACGGTCGTCAATAATATTTGGGTCAGTGGGTAGCCCTTCTCCATCGCATTCGTCGACGTCATAAGGTCATTCTTCCTGTGGGGGCTTCTTCCCATATTAACTTGGCAAGGCGGTTATTAGGGAGTCTAAGGACATGGCCAACCCATCTTAGACATTGGGATTTAATCTCTTGGACTACGTGGCTCACTCTATACATCTGATTGACCTCGGCATTTGTTCTCATTCGGTATTAGTTGCTATTAATATCGTGATAAGACCCAAAGATTCTTTTGAGGAATTTCCTCTCAAAACATCTAAGTTTTCTTTCAGTTTCTTTGGTCAGGGTCCACGTCTCACACCCATACATGAGCACCGGTCTAATCACCGTTTTATATATTGTAATATTTGATGTACGTGTTAGGCTTTTAGATTTAATAGTATTATGTGGGCTGTACATACATCTGTTTGCTGTCTGAATTCTTCCTTTAATCTCTTCCGCAATATCGTTATCTGCAATAATTGTTGCTTCGAGATATTTAAAACTCTCCACTCTTTCAAAGTTATATGGGTCTATTGTAACATTTTGCCCTATTCTATCTCGTCCCTTTGTCTGTTGAAGCACATGTATTTGGTTTCCTCTTCGTTTATCCTTAAACCAGTTTTCTTTGCCTCTACCTCCAATTTATTATTTTTTCTTCATTTCCTCATTTTGAATTTTCTCGATGTTTCACTGTTCCAATGCTTCATTGGCCTTAGGTTTGTCTGAAGATATTTTGAACCTGATATTTGCTATTACTAGGTAATGGTCTGTATCTCCATCTTTATTATTACTTCCATGTCTAGCATTGATAATTAAGTGGTCAATTTGGTTCCGCGTGAAGTGGTCATTAGAGACCCAAGTCTGTTTATGAATGCTCTTATGTTGGAACATAGTAGACTTTAACAGCATATTGTTAGCCGATGCTAGCTCTACGAGGCTTTGTCCATTGTCGTTTGGGATATCGTGGAGGCTGTGTTGTCCTATTGTCGGTCCTAGGTTAGGTTCTTTGCCAATTTTTTCGTTGAAGTCTCCACAGATTATCTGCATATTTTGTTTAGGGATTTTCTCAACTGTTTTTTACTAGTACCAATACGAGTAAGTCTTGTCGAGGTGTCGTTATAGAGCCAAGTCGGAATCAGCAATCAATACTGTATCATCATCGTATTTTTACTACATTTAAATTTAATAACAGTTAAATTTAATAACAGCTGTATAATAATAAATATGTTTTCTTGGAAATTTCACTAGTCAAACAGGCAAATAATGTCTATTCTTAAAGTTGGTTACTTTATTTAAGTTTACTAATATCTTTTAAAACCAAGGATCAAAACATCGTCACTTTCAAATCAAAAATTGTTCGGATACTTACTGCCTAAATTTCCCTAATTGCGATAATATGTAAATCGGATACCGATTAATCGATTCAATAAAAAGTTCACAGCGGCTTCAGAGGTCGGAAAATACAATCTTCAGGTTGTAATAATGAGTTGAAAGGGTCGTTAGAAGGTAGATGGAACTTCGTTATTGCCATGTAGCTTCTATAAAGCGATGAATCATATCGTCTAATGGGATTTTATTATCAAGTTAGCCTCACAAACGAATTCGATATTCAATAATAAGATGAAAGAAATTCTTGAGAAATTTGGGATAAGTTGTGAATAACATTTCGTGAATTAACTATAGAAGGCGTAATTAATATATTTAGTGTAAGGTAAAGATATTCAGTTTCATGATGTTAAAAGATAATTTAAAAATATAAATAATTTAATCGCATTGTCAGACAAAAGAGATAATCAAAAGCATTTCTAATGAAAGATGTGTTTGTACTCTTAGTTTTTAATACTGTAAACTAAAGCCAAATCTAATTTACTATAAAAAGTTGGTACTTATGGTATTTTAGAAAAGCAGTAAAGCATTTATTAATAACTATTTATAAAAAATCTTGATACAATTAATGCATAATAATTTTTTTTTTATTTATTTGTATTTTCCATTTTTATATTCATTTCTCTGAGGAAAACAACGAAAAAAAAACCATGGTATAAACAAAGGCATCTTATACATTGTTTTACAATTTTTCTTTTATATTAAAGATGTATTTAATCAGGATCTTATAGGTATTTGACAAACAATGAATATTAGTTGTAGAATTTATAGATTAAAAAGGTTTCCTATTTATTAATTGATAACAATTTGGCTTAAAAATTCTGAGCACGCTATTCTGAGTAGTTTTTGGCATAAGATTATGTTTGAACCATTCTTCAAAAAGTTATGCCGTTGTATCTTCATGGTAGTCGACGCAGGAGTCTTTAATATTCTTTGCAGAAAGCCACAGGGCATTTGGAGCCCAACCATTTTCTGATCCAGCATGTAAAATCGTTATTATTTTCCCTTTATATGACGAACTTTTATCTTACATTTACTTTGAAAAGCCCATACTTTTCAAAATTTTCTATAAGCTGGTGAGGCTACAGCTTATTTGAGTTTCGTCAATATTGAGCCGTTGCTTCAGAGCTCTTAATGTAGGTATGCCTTGCTCTTCGTACATGGTATAAACTTTTCGACGTATCAAGTGTTTATCGGCTTCGTCCATACATTTGGTAAAACAAGAATCTTTACATTTTTTTCTTGCTTCTATGGGATTTGATGTAATTCTTTTTGATTAAACAGACAAATATTTCTTCTTTACCGCATCACCAGAAGAAGCCACATTAATATTATCAAACGGACGCCACATAATGATAGAAAACTTAGTGAACAAAATGAGTAATACTATTAAAAACTTTCCGTGATACATAAAGAAAAACAAATTTTATTAAGAACTAGTATTTAAATACTGGTTGGTGCTCAGTTCCATAAACTTATTATATAAATATCTGTACGGTGTAGAGGCCTGGACTCTCAAACAGAACAACATGAAAAATATTGAAAGTTTCGAGATGTGGTGCTACCGTCGAATGCTGAAGATTAGTTGGGTTGAAAGAATAACAAACTGTGAAGTAATACGAAGAATAGGAAAAGACCCAGAGATTTTGTTAACGCTAAAGCGAAGAAAACTCGAATATTTTGGTCACCTGATGAGAGGACATAAATACGCATTACTTCAAAATATAATGCAGGGAAAAATAGAAGGAAAACGGAATCCAGGCCGTAGAAGAATGTCATGGTTGCGGAATTTGAGAGAGTGGTTTGGCTGCACCACTAATGAACTTTTTAGGTCAGCCGTAAACAAGGTCAGAATAGCCTTGATGATTTCCAATCTCCGATAGGAGTGGCACAAAAAGAAGAAGATAAATATCTGAAAACCACTTAAAAGGTGATTAGCAAACCCGTCACGGATTATCATTGAATTCGAAAAACCGTCTTATCAGTACAGTTTCGTCAATATAAGCCTTGTCTGTATTAAAGAAATTATGAGTTTGGATTGTACTCAAATAAATCAACATTAAGAAATGAAGATTGACAAATTTTACCAGGAAATATATTTAAATTTTACCTGAAACCGGGCCTTTTATACTATTATCGGTTAACTCAGGATTTTTATAGTCGGTACTAATTGAAGTCAACTAGTTACTGCTGAAAAAACTTGTTTATCCAAATTGTCATGATGTCATGTCTTGATCATTATAATTATTCCAGTAGAATCATATTAGTTATATCTAGTTAAATTTCGCATCAACTTCAAAACCGCTTTTTCTTTTCATTTATATCTAATATAAAAAAAATTCCTACCTCATTCTCTTACCTTAATATTTTCTTTCATGTGAAAATATAATACTCCGAGCTGACACTCAGACCGTAATATGAGTACCCATATTTCACGTTGACAGAATTCTTGCGCTCCATTTTTTTCTAATATACAAAGAATTGGCTGTGGCATAAATATGAGTTCACGTGCTTGCCTTTCGACAGAAGCAGGTAGACGATGGGATATACGATAGGATTTTATTCTGGGCTTTTGTTTTATACGACAATGAATCTCCTTGAGATCTAGTTTTGATGAAGATGTAAAAATGTTCATTATAATGGAAACGATATTAATCCCCAAAGGCAAGTAAAATTTTAGATATTTTAGATAGAAGCTTTCTCATTTCAACGAGTATTAAAATAGTATTTTTATTTGCACTGGCACGGATATAAAAATATATTATGTATTTTATTAAAATACTTTATGTGTTGCAGTGTATTGTGGTTGTATATAAGTAGTAGGAACTAATTTACTAATAATCTAAATATCTGTATTTTTAAATAAATACGGATACAGAAAAAAATTAGTGAGATTCTTTTTTTTTTGTTGTGTCTATGTTTATTTTTCCTTTAAAAATCAACACAAAAGAGTTACCTGGATTTCTCTAAAATTTCTATAAAATTTCTGGGTTTAAGAACTGGAATTCCGCCACACGAACAAATTTGTCTCCAATCTACGAAAAATGAGGCTGGGAGTTGAGTACTGGACACAAACTTTGCAACTTTGCTTTTTTAAAAATCTCATAGGTGAGAGACGACATAAAACAAAAACAGTAATTATTCTTATCAGAACTGACACATTACAATGAGT